TCGGGAGCGGCGGCGCCGCTGCGGAGCGCGATGGTCCCGCCGGGGCCGCCCCGCTCCTGCCTCCTGCTGGCGGCCGCGCTGCTGCCGCTGCTGCCGGTACCGGCACCGGGAGCAGCCCCGGGCCCCCCCGCGCTCACCGACGCCGAGATCGAGGAGTTCCTGCGCGGCTTCCTCGCACCCGGGGACCAGGACGGGGACGGGACGGAGCTGGGCTTCGGCACCGAGCTCAGCACCGGCACCGGCACCGGTGAGCGATGGGCCCGGGGTCCCCGGGAGCGGGGTGCGGGACGGGGCTCCCCCGGGCCGGCCCCCGCTCAGCCCGCCCCGGGGCTGCTCCCCCCCTGCCCCCGCAGGAGCTCCGGAGCCGCTGCCCGAGCCTGAGAAACCCAGGAAGGGGAAGAAGGAAAAGCCCCCCAAGAAGCCCAAGGAGAGACCCCGGGGCCCCAAGAAGGACAAGGACAAGGACAAGGAGCGGGGCAAGAACAAACCCCCCAAGAAATCCAAGGAGAAGCCACCGAAAGGCTCTGAAAAAACCCCAAAAAGCTCTGAAAAAACCCCAAAAGGCTCCGAAAAACCCCCAAAAGGCTCCAAAAAGCCCAAGGAGAAGCCTCCCAAGGCCACCAAACCCTCTGGCAAGAAGCCACCAGTGCCACCGAGCCCCCCCACTGTCCAACAGCCCTCGCGGGGCAAGGAGGATGAAGAGATACCCGAGTTCCTGGAGCCTTCTCACAAGGAGAAGGAGGAGGATGGAGGGGTCCGAGGTCAGTTTTGGGGACACCCATCTTGGGCTTGGGGTGGGAGGTGCCAGCCCAGCAGAGCTTCACCCCAAATCCTGCCAGCTGCCCTGGCAGCACCAGAGGGGGCTTTGTCCCCTCTGTCCCCCCCCTGTGGGGCTGGGGGGGTCAGGACAGGGCCTGGGGGGGCCGTGCCAGCCCCTCGCTCTGTCTCTGTCCCCAGGAGAGCTGGAGGAGCCACCAAATGAGCGCTGGGAGGACTGGAGCCCTGAGCCCCAGCCAGGTGAGTGCCCAGGGCCACCACGCCGTGTCCTGGGGACACTCCTCTGCACCCTGGGGCTACCTCCCAGCGTCCTGGGGCTACCTCCCTGTCCCCAAATGTCACCTTCCTGCACCCCAATGTCACGTCCCAGCTCCCCAGGGCCATGCTCCTGCAACGCGGGCCACCTCCCTGTCCCCAAATGCCACCTTCCTGCGCCCCAATGTCACCTTCCTCTGTCCCAGCACCACCTCCCTGCATCCCAGTGCCACCCCAGGGCCACCTCCCTTCTCCCTGGTGTCCATTCCCTGCTCCCCAGTGTCACCTCCTGCGTGCCCCAGGGCCACCACCCTCACCTCGGGGCCTCCTTCCTGTCCCCAAGCGCCACCCCCCTGCTCCCCGCTGTCCCCTGGCTGCAGCCCTGTGTCCCTTGTCCGCAGAGGTCCCCGAGGAGCCGGAGCCCCCGACCCTGGACTACAACGAGCAGCTGGAGCGGGAGGACTACGAGGACTGTACGGAGCTGGGCAGTGCGGGGGGCGCGGGGGGCACGGGGACATGTCACACAGCCACCCTCTGTGTCCCCAGTCGAGTTCATCCGGCGGCAGCAGAAGCCCCCGAAGCCCCCGGGCAGGAGGAGACCGGAGCGGGTGTGGCCCCAGCCCGAGGAGACGAGTACGTGCATGGGGACAGAGGGCTGGCACCTCCCAGGGGACACCGGGGACAGTCCCCAGCCTCGGGAACCCAGGGGGACACTGGGGACAGTCCCCAGCTTGGGGATCCCAGGGGGACACTGGGGACAGTCCCCAGCTTGGGGATCCCAGGGTGGCACTGGAGACAGTCCCCAGCCTCGGGAACCCAGGGTGACAGTGGGGGACAGTCCCCAGCCTCGGGAACCCAGAGAAGGAGCATTTTGGGGCAGCCTGGGGTGGGGTGGACATGGGGACAGCGTTAGGGACCCTGTAGGAGTGTGGGGATCTCGTGGTGGCACGGGGGTCCTGTGTGGATGTAGAGGGGTCCTGTAGGGACACAAAGAACCCTGCAGGGACATGGGGACCCTGCAGGGACATGGGGACCCTGTGGGGACACAAAGAACCCCATAAGGACATGGAGTTCCCATTGGAGCATGGGGAGCTCTTGGGGGGACACTTGTGGGGGTCCCTGGGGGGCACGGGCATCCCAGTGGGGACAGAGTGGTGCGCTGGGGACATGGGGACCCCACGGTACCAAAAGGGAAATGGGGCATGCTGACCCCAGAGGGGACCCTGCAGGGCCATGGGGACCCCCGCTGCCTCCCCAGCTCCAGCTCAGCCCCTTCCCCCTCCCCAAGCAGAGCCCGAGGAGCCCCCCCCGCGGCCGCCCAAAAGCTGCCCCAGCCCCCCACCCTGTGCCCCCAGGGTCCTACGGGCTGCCCCCCCCGAGCAAACCCCACGAGCACCCGGACAAGGAGGACGGGAAGGAGACGGAGGAGGAGAAAATCGGAGCCTGTGAGAGGGGTGGAGGGGCTGGGGGCGTGGGCAGGGTGCGGGGGGGTGTGCCCATGGTGGGCAGTGTGCGCCAGGGTCAGGGCAGAGCCGCAGGGAGGGTGGCATGTCCCTGCCATGGGTTCCATGGGTGTCAAATCCCCACGGAGGGTGGCACATACCATCACATCACATCACGTGTCCCATGGTCAGTGGCATGTCCCTGAGACAGGTGACACGTCTGCGTGGTGAGTGTCACCCCCCGCAGTGGATGTCACCATCATGTCCTCAGGGATGGTGGCACATCCCTGGAGTGGGTGGCATGTCCCCGGGGTGAGTGACATGTCTGCATGGCGAGGGAGGTGGCATGTTCCCGGGGTGGGTGTCACACCCCTAGCACCAGTGGCATCTTCTTGGGGTGGGTGGCACGCTCCTGGGACCGGTGTCACGTCCCTGGGGTGGGTGTCACCTCACCAACAGCGAAGCCCAAGAAAGAGGAGGAGGAGGAAGAGGAGCGCTGGGCGGAGGAGAAGGGCCAGGACCGCAAAGGTGGGTGCCAGCCCCCGTTCCTGTCCCCTCACACTGTCCCCGTCCCTCCCCCCTCACTGTGCCTTTTCCTTTGCCAGGAAAACCCAAAAAACCAGGAGGAAAGAAGTGGGATCCGGATGAGGAGGAATGGGCCCCTCCCGCAGAGAAGAAAAGTGAGTGTCCCCATTCCTGGGGTGACAGGGACACCCTGCTGGGGGGGCTGAAGCCCATCACCCCCTGCTGTCCCCAGGGTGTCCCCCAATCGGGCTGGAGTCCCACCGCATCGAGGATGACCAGATCCTGGCCTCCTCCATGCTGCGCCACGGGCTGGGCGCCCAGCGCGGCCGCCTCAACATGCAGGTGAGGGTCACGTGCCACGGTGACACCCCAGCCCCTGTCCCATGGTGACACCCCCAGCCCCTGCCCCATGGCCACGGTAACACCCCCTGCCCCACAGTGACACCCCCAGCGCCCACCCATGGGTCATGATGACACCCCCAGTGCCCACCCACGGGTCACGGTGACACCCCCAGCCCCTGCCCCACAGTGACACCCCCAGCACCCACCCATGGGTCATGATGACACCCCCAGTGCCCACCCACGGGTCACGGTGACACCCCCAGCCCCTGCCCCATGGTGACACCCCGAGCCCCTGTCCCACGGCCACAGTGCCACTCCCAGTGCCCACCCATGGGTCACAGTGACACCCCTGCCCTCTGGGTGACGGTGACACCCCTGCCCACGCCCCGCTCCCCAGGCGGGCACCAACGAGGACGATTTCTTCGACGGGGCGTGGTGTGCCGAGGACGACAGCCGCGCGCACTGGCTCGAGGTGGACACGCGCCGCGTCACCATGTTCACCGGGGTCATCACCCAGGGCCGCGACTCCCAGATCCAGTACGGCCACCTGGGGCTGCTTCTGGGGACGTGGCGCGGGGGAGCAGCGTGGGGACCCCTGTCCCAACCTGTCCCAACCTGTCCCAACCTGTCCCTGTGCTCCCACAGCGATGACTTTGTCACCAGCTTCTACGTGGGCTTCAGCAACGACAGCCAGCACTGGGTGATGTACAGCAATGGCTACGAGGAGATGGTGGGGACCGTTCCGGGCGGGTGACGTGGCAGCCACGGGGAGGGAACCTCTGGGGTACATCTCTCCCTCCTGGGCAGATGTTTTATGGCAACGTGGACAAGGACACGCCGGTGCTGAGCGAGTTTCCCGAGCCGGTGGTGGCTCGATACATCCGCATCTACCCCCAGCGCTGGAACGGGAGCCTCTGCCTGCGCCTGGAGGTCCTGGGGTGCCCCCTCTCTGGTAACAGACACCCCAAAGCAGCCTGGGGGCCACGGGGGTGGGACCTCTGCAGCCATCCCCCGCTGCTGTGTCCCTGTCCCCTCCACAGCTGTCAGCAGCTACTACACCCAGCAGAACGAGGTGACCTCCACGGACAACCTGGACTTCCGACACCACTCCTACAAGGACATGAGGCAGGTGGGCACTGCTGGGGGGGCACATCCAGAAGGGGGTGGGATCCTCTGTAGGGGATGGGACACCCGTGGTTGTGAGATCCTTCATGGTGGTGGGATCTTCTGTGAGGAGTGAACACCTCTGTGGTGGTGGGCACATCTTTGGGGCATGGCATTCTCTGTGGTTGTGGGACCCTCCATGGGCGTGGGATTCTCTGCAGCTCTGGGCTCGTCCCCCCAAGCACTGTCCCCGTGTCTCCCCACCCTGCAGCTGATGAAGGTGGTGAATGAGGAGTGTCCCACCATCACCCGCATCTACAACATCGGCAAGAGCTCGCGGGGGCTGAAGATCTACGCCATGGAGATCTCCGACAACCCGGGCGAGCACGAGACGGGTGAGGGAGGTGTGAGGGACAGGGACCCCCAGCCATGGTGCTGGGTGTTTGCTGACCCTCCCGGACCCCCCAGGTGAGCCCGAGTTCCGGTACACGGCGGGGCTGCACGGCAACGAGGCGCTGGGCCGGGAGCTGCTGCTGCTGCTGATGCAGTTCCTGTGCAAGGAGTACCAGGACGGGAATCCCCGCGTGCGGGGCCTGGTCACCGACACCCGCATCCACCTCGTGCCATCCCTCAACCCCGACGGCTACGAGCTGGCCCACGAGGCGGTGAGGGGGCCGTGGGGCAGTGGGGTGGGAGAATGGAGCCGTGGGGCAGTGGGGTGGGGTGGCAAAGCCCCCCACTCACAGCTCACCAGTGCCCTGGGCTGGCTGAGGGCTCCAAGCTGGGCACCTGAGATGTGTCAGAGAAGGGGATGGCACCAGGAGCAGTGGGATGGGACGTGGGTGGTGGGATGCAGCCCTCCTGAACTCACCAGTGCCCTGGGCTGCCCGCAGGGCTCCGAACTGGGCAACTGGGCACTGGGCCATTGGACAGAGGAAGGCTTTGACCTCTTTGAGAACTTCCCCGACCTGGCCTCAGCGCTGTGGGCAGCCGAGGAGAGGCGGCTGGTGCCCCACCAGTTCCCCAACCACCACATCCCCATCCCAGAGCACTACCTGTCCGAGGACGCGGCGGTGAGTGTGGCACAGGGGCCGGGGAGAGGGTGGCAGCGGGTGACACCTCACGCCCTGTGCCTGCCTCACAGGTGGCAGTGGAGACACGGGCTGTCATGGCGTGGATGGACAAGAACCCCTTCGTGCTGGGAGCCAACCTGCAGGGTGGGGAGAAGCTGGTGTCCTTCCCCTTCGACACGGCCCGGCCCAGCCCGCCGACGCCGGCGGCCGCCCCTCGCCCGCTGGACTACGAGGACGAGCACCCCGAGCTGCAGGAGACGCCCGACCACGCCGTGTTCCGCTGGCTCGCCATCTCCTACGCCTCGGCACACCTGACCATGGCCGAGACCTTCCGCGGGGGCTGCCACACGCAGGACGTCACCGACGCCATGGGCATCGTGCAGGGCGCCAAGTGGCGGCCCCGGGCTGGCAGTAAGATGGGGCCAGGGGCCTGGCTGCCGCATAACCCGGCCGCTGGAAGGTGAGCAAGGGGCTGGGTGGGCGTGTCTGTGCTCTTGCAGGTATGAATGACTTCAGCTACCTGCACACCAACTGCCTGGAGCTCTCCATTTACCTGGGCTGTGACAAGTTCCCCCACGAGAGCGAGCTGCAGCAGGAGTGGGAGAACAACAAGGAGTCTCTGCTCACCTTCATGGAGCAGGTGTGTGGTGGGACACGACCACGGCTGCCCCAGCCGCCCCACACCGTTCCACTCATCCCTCTTCCCCACCCAGACCCACCGGGGAATCAAGGGCACGGTGACAGACCAGCAGGGAGAGCCCATTGCCAACGCCACCATTGTGGTGGGGGGCATCAACCACAACGTCAGGACAGGTAGGTACTGCGGGGTGCTGGCAGGGCACTGGCAGCACCGTGCCCACCCCACCCACCCACCCTGCTGCCCCCGTGCCCGCAGCCAGCGGCGGGGACTACTGGCGCATCCTGAACCCGGGCGAGTACCGCGTGTCGGCGCGGGCCGAGGGCTACAACCCCAGCGTCAAGACTTGCCACGTGCTCTACGACATCGGGGCCACCCAGTGCAACTTCGTGCTGTCCCGCTCCAACTGGAAGCGCATCCGGGAGATCATGGCCATGAACGGGAACCGGCCCATCCGCCGCGTGGTGCCCGGCCGGCCCATGACGCCCCGCGAGCGCCTGCGGCTGCGGCAGCGCCTGCGGCACCGCATGCGCCTGCGGGAGCAGATGCGGCTGCGGCGCCTCAACGCCACCACGGCCGCCGGCGGCCCCACGGCCCCGCCGCCCACCACGGCCCTGCCCTTCCCCTTCAGCAGCACGGCCTACACGCCCTGGAGCCAGGAGCCACCCACTGCTGGCACCTGGGAGATGGACACCGAGACAGAGGTGGTCACCGAGCTGGTGACAGAGACGGAGGGCTGGGAGTTGCACACGGGCACGGCGCGGCCGCTCACCACGGCCGAAACCTACACCGTGAACTTTGGGGACTAGGGACACTAGAGTGACCCCTCACTCTGCTTCAAGCTGTGGTCGGACGCTTTGGCATCCGCTTCCAACACCTTCTCTGAGCCCAGGCAGCTGTTCCAGGTGGGCTCCAGCCCCTCACCTTGCTGCTTCCAAGGACTGCAGGCATTGTCGCCAACAGCTGGGTGCTGTCAGGGACATGCTACCCCATCCCTCGGAGCCGGGCAGTGCCAGCCCACTGTCCGTGTCCTAGTGGGGTGGCAGGGGTGGTACTGCTCTCCTGGGCAGGGCCCATGGAGGCGGGCACAGCCTTTCTCCCCTCCATACAGTTTTTGTTACACAAATAAATCAAGTTATATTGGTACGAACATCTTGTCCCTCCAGTGCTTCCCCAGCTCTGTCACCTCCCAGAGGACAGACAAAGGCAGGTAGTGCCAGGACCCCTTGAGGGGTGGGGGCTTGTGGAGTCTGTGGTCAGTGTCCAACTTCCATGTCCCCATCCTCGCTGTCAGCCCCGAAGCTGGAGAAGGCGATGGGCTGGCAGCTGAGGTCGCGCAGGTTGACGAGGCAGGCGGTCTGCGTGGCGCTGAAATCCGGCACCGCCACCAGCAGCACCCGCTGCCCCTCCTTCCCTGCAAACACAGCTGGGTGTCAGGCAGAGGAGCCCCCTGGCAGCCCCAGGAGGATCTGGGGGTGCTGCAGACCCACCTTGGAGCAGCTTGGACTGGAAGCGGGGCGCGTTGCCGCAGAAGTAGACGTGAGGGCACTCGGTGAGGATAAACGGGTCGGATTTGTAGAACGGGTAACAGCCTGGGGAAGATGGGAATTAGAGGGGAAGGCCCTGGCAAAGGCTCCCCACTCAACAACCCCCCAGCCCTCACCATACCCAGGGTGTCTGGGGCCGTGGGGCTGATGTGTCCTGCCAGCAGTGTCCACTCCAGGATCTCCAGGTAGTCATCCATGCTGCTGTACTTGAAGATATCACTGATGTTTTGTCCCGATGTCCCTAAAAACCTGCATTACGGAGGAAAGAAGGGGAGCCTCAGATGGTGGACACGCCAGGACGTGTCCCTTGGTCCCACGGCGCTGACAGGCAGCAGAGCTGGTAGGTTTGTTTACCTGACCCCGTCCAGGCTGGCCTGGTAGGGGTTGGTGACGAGGCGCAGGGTGGCGTAGGCGCTGGCCAGGGGCAGCATGCAGCGGTGCAGCGGCTGCTGCGGCAGCGTGTAGTTGGTGGGGTCAAACTCACCAGGCATCACATCCACGGGCACCGAGGTCTGTGGGTACAGTGGGATCAACTGTGTGGCCAAAGTGCACTCCAAGAGGGCTCAGAGCAAAGCCCTGGTGTCACTGCTGCTCCTTTTCCCCAGGGCACCCCGCTCGGCTTCACCGAGGATCCCAGGAGAAGGATTTGGAGCTGCCTCTCCATAAGGGGTGCTCAAAGGGAAGCTGGGTGCTGGGGAAGGGGGTTTTGTCACCCTGCACCCCAGACTGCTACCCTGCCTCAGGAACAAAGCTCCCTCCCCCAGAGGAACCTGATTCCTTGGCCAACCCCGAGCACTCACACAGAGCTGCAGCAGGATCTCATCCAGCATCTTCACAGCCTCCACACTTGCAGCCTGCGTCTTTTTGGTCAAGTACTTGGCCTGGGTAAGCAGGAGGACAGTGAGGGACGGCCCTGCACCCCCTCTGTCCCCTCCCCACGGCCCAAGGCAGGCCGCAGCCCCCTCCTCGCCGTACCTTGTTGATGGTGTCTCTGCTCTGCGTGTTCTGGCTCAGCAGATTCCCAGCCAGAATGACACGGGTGATGTGGGCAGCACAACTCTGCTCGCCCTCTGCCCCCAGCTGCCCTGTCACCACATCCACCAGCAGCTGAGTGCTCAGCAGGGCCTCCCCACTGACGCTGCCCAGCCCCAGCCCCGAGGCCAGCAGCACGAACCTGCACGGATGGAGAGGCTCAGGCAGCGTGCCACGCTCCCAAACTGAGGGGGGCTTCAGAGAGCCAGGGCAGGGGACCCAGACCCCCTGGCAGCACCCTGGGCATCAGGGACTCAGGGACACAGCAAGGACACAGTGCCAGCCCCAGCTGTGCTGCTGCCTCACCGGTCGGAGCTGGGCCCGCTCCAGGGCAGCGCGGGCGGCATGTCGGCGAAGCAGTGATCCTCCACCACGAACCTGCCATCGTCCTGCTCACAGCCACACACGGCCACGATGGTCCCTGCAGCACAGCAGGCACTCAGCCCCAGCCAGCCCTGCAGGCCGGCTGCCACCAGAGCTGTCCCTTACCTGTCACCAGCCTCTGCACGTCGATGGCTCCGTCCAGCTTGATCCGCTGCAGCTCGTCCTCCAGCATCAGCTCGTCACAGGGCTGGATGTACTTGGGCAGGGGGGGCTGAGGCACCAGGTTGTGCTGCGAGGGCACAGGGACAGCTCTGACGGCCTCAGCAAGGACCAGCAGCCCCAGGGACCCCTCCCAACCCCAGCCCCTCACCACCAGCACAGCAAACACCCCAGCTGGGGTCCCAGCAGCTGGAACCCCCCCGGGTGGGCTGGTTTCACTCACTGAGCAAGAGTGGTGGCAAGTGGGCAGGGAGAACAGATAGACAAAGGGTGGGGAAGGAATGTGAGGGTAGTGAGGCCCTGGCACAGGCTGCCCAGAGCAGTTGTAGCTGCCCCTGAATCCCTGGAAGTGTCCAAGGCCAGGCTGGATGGGGCTTGGAGCAACCTGGACTAGTGGAAGGTATCCACACATGCTGGCACCAAGGTGGCACCCAGGGCCAGGCCATCCTGCTCAAATCTCTGCCAGTTCCCTGGCTACAACGAGCACAGGGAAGCCATGGTGAGCTCTCAGGTGTGCTGGCACACCGCCCAAGCTGTGTGGAGGAGGAGAGGGCGAGCCCATTACCTCCTCACTGATCTCCTGCAGGATGGAGGGCTGCAGCTGCATGACCTTGAAGAGCGTCCCCACCACGTAGCACTTCTCTCCCTCCTGCAGCTCCGAGAGCCTCCGCAGTGCAATGTCCTCCCCTGTGGAGACACACAGGGGTCAGTGGCCCTGGGGTGACACGGGGCTCAGTGGCCCTGGGGTGACACGGGCACGGCGCAGGAGCAGCGGCAGGGCCCCAGCCGAGGTGCTGGGGAATGTTGGGAAGCCTCCTGCTTCTCCTCGAGGCACGGCGCCCAGCAGACATGTGTGGGCCAGATGGGGCCGAGGAGCATTCCAGAGCCTGCAAGCCTGCAGGCATTTCCTCTGTGCTGGGGGGAAAGCTGGGTCACGATGGTGTGTTCAGCTCCCAGTAACAGCTCTGCCCGGGAAGGGCCCAGGATGCACCCTGGGCACAGGGGGCTGCTGTTCCTGGGCCCAGGATGCACCCTGGGCATGGGGGGCTGCTGTTCCTGCTCTCCACCCAGGGGATAACCCAACATCCCACCGGGAGCTGACAGGCAGATCACACAGCACCCCAAACCTGATCTCTGCCAGGGCCAGATCCTCTGCCCCAGATCCCTGCTGGAATTCAGGATCCCCATCACTTCCAGAGAAGGCCCTGGCATGCTGACAGGTCCCTGGGCTTTAGGCAGGGAGAACCTCGTGAGCTGCAACAAGCATCACAGCCCTAGCTGCATCCACTTTGTGGCTGAGGAGCAAAAATCTCCCTCACCACAAGGTGAGCCCAAAACTGGGGAGCCAGAGGTGCTCCAGCCCCATCCAGTGCGTGTCCTCCCACCCAGTATAGGGCTGTGGGACTGTCATTCCCTGCTTAAACCAGCCTGTGAAGTCCACCCTGAGCCTGAGGCCCTGGAGAAGAGCAAGAAACCTGCTCCTGGTCTCCTCTCCCACAACAACACTGCCTGCACCAGCTCCTCGCCCTTTCTGGGTGACACTTCTCCTCCCAAAAATCCCACTCTGCTCATCACGCGCTGCTGAGCGTGACTCTTGTCCCAGGGAGAGCACCCCGCTGCCATCCCTGGCACCCCACACTGGAAACATGGATTCCCGAGCCCAGGAATGCAAACACTCTGAGTCAGAACAAAAACAATCCTGTCCAAGTCTCTTATTTTTGGCTGAAACTCCCCAAAATGTGTGTTCGGGGGGGAGGGGGCTGTGCTCTCCAGATTTTTGCCTGCAGGCGCTTCCTGCTGGGAAACAAACCCCAAAATCTGGTCCCGTCCCAGGGCTCCAGGAGGTGGAGTTTACAAACCACTGGGTCCTGTCACACTCGGCCAAGCCCAGGGTGGCCAACCAAGGGATGACACCCGCAGTGGGACCAGCACTGGCTTTGCTTCCACAGCCCAGGGGGCTGGGGAGAGCACAAGCACGGGCGTCCAGCCCAAAAAAAGCTTCCACTGAAGGGGATTTTGCCCATAGAAGGGCAAAGCTGAAGGAAATTTGATCTCAGGCCGTGCCCAGGCTGGGGAGGGAGGGGGGCACAGCCCCAGCAGCGTTGCTTCATCCCGCGGATGGAAACTCTGAGCACGAGGGTCCCACCCGCAGAACCACAGCCCCCCCAAGGCAGGAAACACCCCCCCAGCACCTCTCACCCCCCTGTGCCCCACTTCCTGGCCTGGGCCCCACAGCCCCACAGCCTGACAAACCTCACACTCAGCTCCTGCTCCCCAAAGCGTGTGGGGCAACGTGGCAACCTGCACACACCCCCCTGCTGTCTGTGATGGGGATGCAGCTTGTCCCAAGGGCAGCACCCCAGTGGGAGCTGCAGCAGGATTACCCCATACCCAAATGGGTTATCCCATCCTTCCTGGGGGGCTGAGCTGCTTGTGTGCTGCACAGCCCCTGTCAAGGGTAAAACGCTGCTGGGGACTGGCACAACTGGGTGCACTGGAGCTGCTCAGGTGTCAGGAAGGCTCTGGGTGGATCACAGCCCCCAACAGGGATGGATTTTGTCCCCGGGGATGCCTGCAGGGAACATCCAGCCTGGGGAACACTCACCTCTGGACTCCAGACACAAATCTGAGATAAAATCCAAAAGCACCTCCACACATGCTGGTGGCCAAGGCCACCACTCAGCCATGTTCCCAAGTGCCACATCCACACAGCTGTTATGTCCCCACAGGGATGGGCACTCCAGCACTGCCCTGGTCAGCTGTGCCAGGGCTGGACAGCCCTCTCCATGAAGGAATTTTCCCAATATCCAACCTGAACCTCTCCCTGTGCAATTTCAGGTCGTGTTCTCTTGTACTGTCCCTGTTCCCTGGGAGCAGAGCCTGACCCCCTCGGCCAGGAAATTGTGGAGAGCCAGAAATTCCCCCCTGAACCTCCTTTTCTCCAGCCTGAGCCCCCCCAGCCGCTCCTGCTGCTGCAGCTTTGTCCCCACCCCTGGACACACTCCAGCCCCTCAGTGTTTTCCGGGGGCAGTATTTCCCTTTCTGCCCCCACCAGTGTTTTTCCCCCTGAGGCAGTGTTTCCCTTTCCCCCAGCAGCAGTGCAGGTTTTCCCTTTTTCCCTTTCCCTGGCAGCATTTTCCCTGGGGCAGTGTTCCCCTTTCCCCCGTGGCAGTGTTTCCCTGGTGAAGTGCCTTTCCCCCGGCAGTGTTTCCCTTTTCCCCTAGCAGTGTTTCTCTCAGTGCTTCCCTTTCCCCCTGGCAGTGTTTTCCCTGGGGCAGTGCCTTTCCCCAGTGCAGTGTTTCTCTTTCCCCTGGCAGTGTTTCCCCAGTGCAGTGTTTTCCTTTCCCCTGGCAGTGTTTTCCCTGGGGCAGTGTTTCCCTGGGGCAGTGCCTTTCTCCCCTGGCAGTGTTCCCCTTTCCCCAGCAGTGTTTCCCCTGGGGCAGTGTTTCCCTTTCCCCCTGCAATGTTTCCCTTGGCAGTGTTCCCCTTTCCCCTGGGGCAGTGTTTCCCCTGGGGCAGTGCCTTTCTCTCCTGGCAGAGTTTCCCTTTCCCCAGGCAGTGTTTCCCCAGTGCAGGTTTCCCCTTTCCCCTGGCAGTGTTCTCTTTCCCCGGGCAGTATTTCCCTTTCCCCTGGGGCAGTGTTTCATTCCCCGGGCAGTGTCTCCCTTTCCCCTCGGGCAGTGTTTCCCCTGGGGCAGTGTTCCCCTTTCCCCTGGCAGTGTTCTCTTTCCCCTGGGGCAGTGTCTCCCTTTCCCCTCGGGCGCAGTGTTTCATTCCCCGGGCAGTGTCTCCCTTTCCCCTCGGGCAGTGTTTCCCCCGGCACCGTTTCCCTTTCCCCCAGCCGCGTTCCCCCCGCAGCGCTCTCTCCCCGCTCGCTCACCCCAGCGGCGGCGGGCGCGCTGCTCCAGGCGCGGCCGCATGGCGGCCAGGCGCACGGCGTAGATGTGAGCGTACTGCCGGCAGAAGCTGCGCTCGCCCAGCTGGAAGGGCTGCGAGCAGTCCGAGTAGGCGCCCGCCGCCACCCGGGGGAAGGTGGGGGGCTCGCCCGCGGGGGGGGCCAGCAGCCCCTGCGCCGTGGGGGCCGCCTGCTCCGAGAACATCCTCCGGGGGTCTGGAAAACAAACCGGGAACTGAGGACCCTGAAAACGGCCATTCCCACCCCAAAATGCAAACCACGGCTGGGTCTGACCCCCCCCTCTGCATGCTGCACCCCTCAGTCCCCCGTCCTTCAACGCAGGGCATCCCAAACTCATCCTGACCGCAGCGTCCCTCCCGCGATCCCCCCAGAGCAGGACACCCACAAAGCGCACCGCGGGTCCCGCAGGCCGCTCTGCCCCCGCACAGCCCCCAGCACACACGCTCGGCCCGGTGCCACCCTCCTCCCGCGGCACCGGGACCCCCGAGGGCACGGCAGCGCCCCCAGACCCCCAGGCCCCTCAGGCCTCAGGCCCGACAGGCCTCAGGCCCGACAGGCCCCCACAGCATCCCCCAGCCGGGCACGTACGGCGTGAGGGGTCAGGGGCCCCCTCAGGCCTCAGGCCCGACAGGCCTCAGGCCCCTCAGGCCCCTCAGGCCCGGGACCCCACAGCATCCCCCAGCCGGGCACGTACGGCGTGAGGGGTCAGGGGCCGCTCCGTGCGGGGTCACAGGCCGGTCCGTACCGGGTTTGGGGTCACAGGCCGGTCCGTGCGGGACGAGGGGTCACAGGCCGAGGGTGGCCGCCGGTACCGGGGCCCGCCATGGTGGGCGGCGGCGCGGCGGGAAAAGGCGCGAACGCCGCGAGCACCGAAGTTGTGCGCCGCGCCGGGAAATGACGTCAGAGCGGCCGCGAGAGCCGCTGTGGGGGGAACATGGCGGGGAGCGGGACAGCGGGACAGCGAGGGACAGGGACACCGGGAGACAGGGACACCGGGACACAGGGACAGCGAGAGACCGGGACACCGGGAAACCGGGACACAGGGACACCGGGACAGCGGCACCGGCCCGCGGCCCCTCAGAACCCATGGGGTGAAGGGCGCACCGTGACCGACACCGAGCCCTTGCTCTGCCCGACAGGGACAGCGGGACACAGGGACACCGGGACAGCGAGGGACAGGGACACCGGGAGACAGGGACACCGGGACACCGGGACAGCGAGAGACCGGGACACCAGGAAACCGGGACACCGGGATACAGGGACAGCGAGGGACCGGGACACAGGGATACCGGGACAGCAGCACCGGCCCGCGGCCCCTCAGAACCCATGGGGTGAAGGGCGCACCGTGACCGACCCCGGAGGTTGGACACCGAGCCCTTGCGCTCCCCAGAGCCCCGAGGGGTCCCGGGAGGAGCCGGGACAGACCCCCCGGTAGACCCTCGGGGGTCCTGCCAGGCCCTCCTCGCCCCGCCTTTGTTATGGGCAGTGTCCCTGAGGGGGCGAGGCTGGGGGTGCTGAGCCCCCCGTGTCCCCCCATGTCCCTCCCGTGTCCTCCCCGTGTCCCCCCGTGTCCCCCCCGTTCCCCCTTCCTGCGGGGTGGAGCTGTGAGGCAGGAAGGGCTCGGGGAGCAGCCGTGTTGGGTTTTTTGGGGTTTTGGGGTTTCGGTCCCCCACCCGTGGCCCCGCTATAAAAGGTGCCACACGCAGCAGTCAGCCAGGGCCAGTCACCTGCTGTCACCGCTGCGGGCTCGCCATGGCTACCTCCTTCCTGCTGCTGCTGCTGCTGCTGCTGGGAGGTAACGGGAGCCTCCTGCCTCCCCCGGGGGACGGGCACCCCGAGTGGAGGGGATGGGACACGTGGGGACAATGGGGTGACAGCCTGGATGACTGAGCTCGGGGGGCTGGGGTCTCTTTGGGGTCCTGTGTGTGGCAGGGATGGGGTCTCAGGCACTCAGGGCTGTGGGGAGGGTCTGTGTAGGGTCCTGTGTGTGGCAGGGATGGGGTCTGTGTGGGGACAGGCACTCAGGGGTGTGGGGAGGGTCTGTGTGTGGCAGGGATGGGGTCTCAGGCACTCAGGGCTGTGGGAGGAGGACAAGGGGACAGGCAGGAGGGGTGGTGGGGGCCTGCAGGGATGGGGTCTGATGGGTACCAGCACCTGGGGGTGGCAGGGATGGGGTCTGCATGAGGACCCAGGGATGGCGGGCATGGTGCCCACGCTGGGACTGGCACCTGGGGACGTTTGGGGACAGGGTGTGCAACGGAAGGGTGTGAGTACAGGCAGGAGGGATGGCGGGGATGGGGCTGAGTACCTGGGGCTGCTGGTTTAGGGGGTCTGGGCACCCAAAATGCAGCCACGCTCACCACCCTGTCCCCGTGCAGCAGCCCAGGCCACGGCCCCCGCGCCCTGCCAGGGCGACGCCAGCTCGTGGTGCTGGGACACGGCCACGGTCACGCGCTGTGGCTGGGAGCAGCAGTGCCAGCACCTGCGTGACAGCCTGGCCCTGGTGAGCACCCCAGCCCCAGCACTGCCAGAGCCACCCAGGGGTGCTGGCAGCCCTGAGCGTGTGTGTGTGTGCCCTCAGGGGGACCTGGCTGACGGGGACAGCGTGGCTGACGGGGACAGCGTGGCTGACACAGCTGATGGGGACAGCGTGGCTGACACAGCTGACGGGGACAGCGTGGCACAGCGCAAGGTCATCAAGTGCTTCCTGTGCACCAAGGTCTTGAAGAAGATACAGAAGCTGGCAGGTGACAACCCTGACGAGGTGAGGGGTGATGAGGGGCTGGGGGGCCGGGCCGGGGGGCCTCTCCCTGTGGCCCCCTGACCCGTGGTGGCTTTGGCAGTCGGCGGTGGTAGCAGCGCTGAAGAAGGGCTGCCGGGCGCTGGGCAGGGTCGTGGGCAGGGTGTGCCAGAAGCTGGTGAAGAGCTACCAGGAGCAGATCACCGAGGGGCTGCAGAACGGGGACATGCCCCGGGACATCTGCGCTGCCATGGGCATCTGCCGGTCCTGAGCACGGTCAGTGCCCCCCTGCATCCTGATCCTGCATCCCCATCCCGTGCCCTGTGTGCCCTGTGCTCTGCCCTGCACCCCACATCCCCATCCTGCATCCTGCACCATGTCCTGCACCCTGCATGGCAGTCCCACACCCCCTGTCCTGCACTGTGCCCTGCACACTACAACCTGGGAGGGGCTGCAGAACGGGGACATGCCCCGGGACATCTGCGCTGCCATGGGCATCTGCCGGTCCTGAGCACGGTCAGTGCCCCCCTGCATCCTGATCCTGCATCCCCATCCCGTGCCCTGTGTGCCCTGTGCTCTGCCCTGCACCCCACATCCCCATCCTGCATCCTGCACCATGTCCTGCACCCTGCATGGCAGTCCCACACCCCCTGTCCTGCACCCTACAACTTGATCCTGAACCCACATCCTGCACCCATATCCTGATCCTGCACCCCATGTCCCACTCCTGCACTGTCTTGAGCCCTGCATGCTGCACCCCACATCCTGATCCTGCATCCTGAACCCTCCATCCTGCACCCCACATCCTGATCCTGAACCCTCCGTCCTGCACCCCACATCCTGATCCTTCATCCAGGGGGAGGGCTGGAGCAGCCGTTTCCACTGACACCCCCTGCTCTTTCCTTTCTCCACAGGCTCAGCCCCGAGTGCCCCCAAACCCTGATACCCGTCCAGCCCCGAGGACCCCACAGCCCAGCCATCCCCCCCCCGACAATAAACTCCTTTCTCTGGCACCAGGGTCTTGTTTGTCTGCCCTGGGGGGACATGGTGACAAGGGTGAGTGGCACCAGGCACTGGCAGGGGACAGCCTGGCCCCAGCAGGGCCAAGGTGACACCGAAGGTGCCAGCAGCAGGGTGGGGATGTGTCCCATGTGGGTCGGGGTGAGCGTTCCCTTCACACACCCGGGTGGTGCTGGCTGTCACTGTCCCCTCCCTGTGCACCCCATGCCTGGCACTGCATCTGTCCCTGCACTTGGCAGTGTCACTTGTCACCCGCTTGTCACCAGTGCTGCCATGGGCTTGGGATCCTCCTCACTGTCCCAGCTGAGCACAGGGCACCCCTGCTTCACTCCCAGCCAATCAGAGCTCAGGGAATCCCACACCCCTTTTTTTCCCTTTATTTCCAGCCAATTGGAGTGCAGGGAATCTCTTCTGTTTGGCCCCAGCCAATCAGAACAGAGGGACTGCAGGGCTCTGAGGGCTGCCACCAATCAGAGCCCAGGATGTGTTTGTGGTGTGAACCAATCAGAGCTCAGGGAATCCTGCAGGCTGAGGGCAGAGCGGGGGATCCCAGTGCCACCTGCAAGGGGAGCTCTGGGGGTCCCAGTGCCACCCCTGGGGCCCTCAGGGGCAGCCCCTCTGGGTGCCTTTGTCCCTTGGGGTGACACGGACACCCCCCGTGCCCCCAGCCCCTCAGCGTGGCCGTGCACTTTGTGAGGACACCGAGATCCCTCGGTGGTCCCAGCCCCACTCCCTGTGGTGATCCACTCCCCCCAGGTGGTCCAAGAGTTGCCCCAGCACCCTGAGATGTCCCTGGATCCCAGGTGTCCCCGTGTCCCAGACCCCTGCAGTGGCCCCAAATATCACAGATACAACCCCAGACCATAAGGATATCCCATACCTTCAGGCTGACACCAACACCCAGACTGGGCCCCAGACCCCTGAGTGCCCCCAACCCCCAGGGGGATCCCAACACCCTGTGGTGTCCCGGGAGGACCCCTCCAGCCTGGGGTGCTCCAGACCCTCAGAGTGGCCCAAAGCCCTGGGTTGCTTCCAGAGCCTTCAGAGAACCACGATATGCTCTGGCACTGCCAGATCCCTAAAGGAACCCCACACCCGGGGCTGCCCATGAACCCCAAAGGGACCCCAATACTCTGCTCCAGACCCTCTGGTGAGCTCAAACCTCTGGGGTGCCCCACACCAGGGGACATGGGTGGGCACATGGCTGGAGGGGACCCCCTAATATCTGATCTGGCCCATTTCTGGTGCACTCTGATCAGCCTCTGCACTCCAGGGATCGCCGTTGGGGAGCTCCTCTACCCTGACATCCCCCTCAAGTACCCCCAAAGAGCTCCTTATCTCTCAGCCACCTCCTTGGGGGGGCTTTCTCCCAGCAAAGGGGCTGGAGCCCCCCTGCTGCAGCTGTGTGAGGATGGGGGGAGGGAGATGAGGGCACGGGAAGCTCCTTGGCCACCCCATAGGTGTGGGGCAGCCCCGTGGGGGTCTCTCTACCAGCACGGGGAGAGAGGAGCGCTGGCCCGAGCGGGCCCCAGAGAAGTCCACACACACCCCGTTTATTGGGGGCCGGAGCCGCCTCCTTCCCGTGGCCGTGTCTGCTCCCACAGCTCTCCGGGAGGAGCAGCGGCCCCGCCATCCCCCCTGAGTCCAGCTCACTGCCCCATCATGCAGGCCATCTTGCAGGCCACGGCGGAGATGAGGGCGGCCCCGCGCCCGCTGCCTTCCTCGGACTGGATGAAGGTGATGTCGCAGCCGGGCGTCAGCTGCCGCACCGTGGCGTGGAAGTGATCCTTGAAGCTGGGGAGCGACAACGCGGCGTCACGGCCGGGCTCGGGGAGAGGGGAAGAAAGGAGAGGACGGGGAGACGTGGCCGTGGGGATGCCCACCTGGGATGGAGCTTGTAGACGGAGCCGTCGACGCCGACCGTGATCTTGAGCGTGTCCTGGCTGCGGCTCTCCCGCATGCGGTTGATGACGCCGGCCAGCCCGGCCGAGCACATCTGGGCCGCGCGCGTGGACACGCTCTCGCACACCCGCCGCACGATCTCGCAGTCCGCCCGCGACGGCAGCAGCTCGAAGGCAGACAGGATGTTGTAGATCTGCTTGCGG